GACGTTAGAGTCTACAGGTTTAAGCTTCTGCGTTTTGAGGAGGCAGATGCCACCCACCTCCCACCTCTCAGGCCCTCTTCCCCCTGACGGTGGACAGATGTTTGGGGAAGGGCTGGGAATGGGGTTCCCGCGGGGCTGACACCTTGGCCTCTTGCTGTGGCACCTTACCCTAGGCACAATGACAACAAGAGCTTCCTGGTGTGGGTGAACGAGGAGGATCACCTCCGGGTCATCTCCATGGAGAAGGGGGGCAACATGAAGGAGGTTTTCCGCCGCTTCTGCGTGGGGCTGCAGAAGGTGGGTGTCTGCCCTTAGCAGCTGACTTCCGACTCCACCTTGAACGCCCCACCTGCTTTCCGAGGCCCCGCCCCTGCCCCATGCTAAGCCCTGCCCCGCCCATTTTCCAGGGCCCTGCCCCCCGGACCTGGCTCCACCCCATGCCAAACCCCGCCCCTCAAAATCAGCCCCACCTGCTTTTCAGGACCCCGCCCCTGGACCCAGCTCCACCCTACGCCCAACCCCGCCCTGAAGGATCTGCCTTCAGGCCGGGAGCGGTGGCTCATGCCTGTAATCCCAGCACCTTGGGAGGCCGAGGAGGGTCAGGAGTTCAAGACCAGCCTAGCAACATGGTGAAACTCCTGTCTCTATATCAAAAATACAAAAAAAAAAAAAAAAAAAAATTAGCCAGCCGTGGTGTCACGGGCCTGTAGTCCCAGCGACTCGGGAGGCTAAGTAAGGCAGGAGAATCGCTTGAACCTGGGAGAAAGAGGTTTCAGTGAGATGAGATCACGCCATTGCACTCCAGCATGGGTGACACAGCGAGACTCTGAAGAAAAAAAAACCCGCCTTCAAAGCGTTCTTAGTCCCCTCCCCTCAAAATCCTGCCTTGGTCACCATTGTCTAGCCTCAGAATCTCCTACCTCCCGGCTCCCCTCAGAATCCCGCCTCCACCACGTTCCCACGCCCTGTCCATGTTGCGGGTGCATTTGGGGGTGGCTGCCGGCGCTGACCCCTGGTCCTCTCCCCCAACCTCAGATCGAGGAGATCTTTAAGAAAGCGGGCCACCCCTTCATGTGGAACCAGCACCTGGGCTACGTGCTCACCTGCCCATCCAACCTGGGCACTGGGCTGCGTGGAGGCGTGCATGTGAAGCTGGCGCACCTGAGCAAGCACCCCAAGTTCGAGGAGATCCTCACCCGCCTGCGCCTGCAGAAGAGGGGTACAGGTACGGCTCCCACATCCTTTGCACCACGACGGGTGGGGAGGGCCCTTTGCGGGGATGGAAGGAGAGGTGCGACATCCCTGCGAGTTCGGGGGACCGGCAAGAGCTGACCCTCTGTGAGCTTGCATTTCTTCCTCTGTAAAATGGGTGTCAATACCCCTAAGTCACAGGAGTCAGTGTGGGATTTTCATGATTATATAATATGCATTGCACATGCCCTTGGACCTCCCTCGGGGCCTCAGTTTTCCCATTTCTAAAGCGAGGAGTGGTCAGGATTCGACCGCAGGCCGCCTGGCTCCAGAACCCACTCTCTTACCCACTATGCTATATTTTCATGTTTGATAATTGAGTGGCGTGGTACCCCATCTAAAGCCAGAGACTCGTGAGTCCATGAATAAACAGGCATTACCTGTGTGCAGGTAACCTGTTACACAGTAGGCACTCACTACATGCTGCTGTTGCATTTGGCACGGGGAGGGGGGGCGGGGGGCACGTCCCAGCCCCTCTGCACCTTTGCTGCCTCTTCACTTCCCTGTGCCTTGCTCCCACAGGTGGCGTGGACACAGCTGCCGTGGGCTCAGTATTTGACGTGTCCAACGCTGATCGCCTGGGCTCGTCCGAAGTAGAACAGGTGCAGCTGGTGGTGGATGGTGTGAAGCTCATGGTGGAGATGGAGAAGAAGCTGGAGAAAGGCCAGTCCATCGACGACATGATCCCCGCACAGAAGTAGGCGCCCTGCCCACCTGCCACCGACTGCTGGAACCCAGCCAATGGGAGGGCCTTGTCCACCAGAGATGCGCCCCCTCACTTCTTGCCCCGCCCCCTGTCCCGGAGTCCCACCCTGTGATGGTTCTGTCTCCTGGGAGCTCTCTCCACCCTTCTCAGAGTTCCAGTTTCAACCAGAGTTCCAACCAATGGGCTCCATCCTCTGGATTCTGGCCAAATGAAATATCTCCCTGGCAGGGTCCTCTTCTTTTCCTAGAGCTCCACCCCCACCAGGAGCTCTAGTTAATGGAGAGCTCCCGGCACACCCGGATCTTGTGGTTTGTCTCCACGCAAAGCAATAAATAAAAGCAATGGTGGCTTTAGCTTTGTGCGATACTTATTGAGGGAGGAGGTGCAATTGGCCACTGTGTGGCCTCGGAGTGGTTTGTCCCGTCTCGGCATGTACTAAACATGTCTTATCCCGGGTCTAAAATGAGGCAAAGTTAGGTCACAGAATCTAGTCCAAAAATTAGAAGGTTCTGTGGGGAATCTGAGAGCCGGAGAGACACTGAGCCCAGTGTCACTCACCCAAAGCATGGGCCCTTTCCAACTTTGACTTTGAATTAGTCATGCTCAGATCTCAAACTGGGGAGGAATGCAGCCAAACGAAATGTCTGAAACTTGAATTTAGCCCAGGGGTCTCCAGTTTGAGGCTTCCCATGCAGCTCATCACATCTACCTCTATTCTGCTTCTCACTGGCTTCCTTCTGTCCCGTCTGACTTCATCCCTCTGTAGCTGCTGCCAGTCCCTTACTTTGCTCAAGAACCTGCCATGGCTCCCCATTTCTCCCAGAAAGCCTTTCTGTTATTTGCAATTCAAGGTCACACTGAAATGCATACCATTTGCTGGAGACTCACCTTTCCAGTTCTTTCCCTATTACTCCTCTGATTCTTTCACACCTTACACCCTCCAATTCCCACCTCAATGTCTTTGACCAAGCTGTTTCCCTCACCAATCTGGAACTTTGAATCTGAGCATCCCCATGAAGTCTTTAGGGACAGGCATTTTGGAGAACTCAGTCCCAGGAAGGAACAGGAAACAGGCGTGGTAGAGCAATTGGTGGAGGGAGAAGAAGAGTTAATAGGAGTCAAGCAGTATCTGAACAAGCACTGGGTGTTGGACATGTCAATCACCTCCACCCACCCAAGGACACAGTGGGTGGGCCCCAAAAGACAAAGGTTTTAGGGGGAAAAAAAAAGTTAGGCGGGAGTAAATGGAAGACCTGACAGAGCCCTCAGGAACCTAAGGTGCTTTTTCAAACCTGAAGAGTCACAGAGATTAAGGGCCCTTGTAGTTCAATCTGCCCTCTGTTTTACAGAGGGGAAACTGAGGCCTAGGGATGTCCCCAAAAGTTCCCAGGGAGATTACTAAAGGTTAGAAGAGATCCCAAACATCAAGGTACGCAGAACCTGTGAGATGCTAGGATGTTCTTTACTGTACTGTCCCCAGTTGAAGATCCCAGCTCCACACCCAGAGGCTACACAGACCACACATGCCAGTGGGGACCATCTGAGCCAGCCAAATCCACAGTCCAGACACCTGTCAGTAACCATGTCCCGCCCACTTTGCCTCATAGGACTCTCTTAAATCTATCCGTGCTTTCCCCATCTGTCAGGCCCAGACCTCTTTCCTGCTCTTCTGACCTGTTAACTTCCCTCCCTTCCACCCTGCACATAGCACAAACCCGCCCATCTCTACACTGCCCACAACCTTGCCATGGTTCCCTCAATGCCCTTGGAAGAAAGCCCATCCCCTGTCCATAACCTTCAAAGCCCTACTGACGCCCCTAGCCCCACACCTCACAGCAAATCTACACTTACCAAGTCACATGCCATTTGTTGAAGTATGTGTCCCCTCTCCTGCTCCCTGCCCCTTGTATGTGCCATTCGCTCTGCCTAAAATGCACTCCTATCCATGTCTAGCTGGCTCCTTCTCCTCCAGGAAGCCCTCCCTGGCTGAGGCAGGCATCACCCTCTGGACTCCCCGATACCAGCCCTGCCCAGTCGCTGCCTGAGGACACATCTGCCTCCTCCATTGGAATGTGAGCTCTATTGAGGGCAGTGTTGGGGCTGTCTTGATTACCACTGTGTCCCCAGCACAGAGGATGCTCTCAGTAATTGACCAAGTCTCTTCCCTGAAGTTCCCTGAACTTCCATGGCTCCCCAGTGCCATGGAGAGAAAGTCCAGCTTATTCATTTTGGCCCCAAAGGCACTGTGTGAATAAGCTCCACCCTTCTGTACCGCACAGCCTTTAACCACTATAATCTGTCCAGCTCCCATGCCTTTTCTCCTGCTCGTGACACTTGACCTTCCTTTGAGGAACCCCTACTAACTGCAGCTCTAAGTATGAGTCTGGCCACTCCAGAGTCACAGTGATTGGTTTAGAGAAAATCACATGGCCCATTTGGGCCAATGAGAGTCTGCCCTGGGACTTTTGCTGGGAAACTGACAATGAGGATCTTTCTGCTGCAGAAAGCTGGAGGGATAGAAACTTCTAACTGCTGAAGTCATCTGTGCCATCAAGAAAGCTGCACTTACTTGATACAAACTACTAGAATTCAACTTACACTGAAAAATAGATGCAATGGTCTGATGTCTGGATCAAACCTACCTGAAGTCAGGTGCCCCTGTACTATTGAGTAACCTAAGCCAACAAATACCTTTTTGCTTAAGCAGTATAGATGGATTATTAGTCCTAATACAGCATTTCTCTTGTTAATTCTCCATCCATGCCCAACACAGTAGCCACACTGAAATTACCCAGTTCTCTGAAGATACACCACATACTCCCACTTCTGGGTTTTTGCTCAGGGCAAACTCAATGCCTAGCCAACACCTACTCATCTTTCAACACTCCACTCAAGCATTAATTCCTCTAGAGCATCTTCCCCAGTGACCCCACCCTGCCCGCTTTCTCTTCTGGACTCCCCTGTCCAGTGTCTGTGTCAGAATCCATGTCTCCCACAGACAGGGCTTTGTGTCTCTGTGTCCAGCACTGGACCTGGCATGGAGTAGGCACGGGTCAATGATTGTTTATTGAATAAATTTACTACTGGAGTAAGAAGTGGCTTAGAGTCCAGTGTAACATGGTGGCTGGGAGTGTGAGTGGATGAATGGGGGGCCCGATGTAGGAACTGGGGCCTCGGGGATGAGGCCGAGTTCCATCCTGCCTTCTTCCACGACCATCCTTACCTTCCCACCCCCACTGCTCCCATTCTGCAGATGAGAAAACCGAGGCTCTGAAAGGAAAAACCACTGCCTGGATTCCCAGGCCTCTTCTTCAACTCATTTGCAGGTGAGGGCAGGGAAGGAAAATTCTAGGGTCAGCACTGGGGTGGGGGGGGGACTCTCCTAAATTTATTGGGCAACAGGCTGCAGGTGAGGGGGCTGACAGGAGGAGGGTCGGGGTGTAATAACTTAAAAACCGTAGGTGACAGCGGCAGCTCCTCAAGAGACCTTTGCAGAGGGGAGGGTGTGGGGTATTTACAAGGATTTGTACAAAGTGCCCCGCGCCAGCCTGGGGCAGGAAGTGGGGGTTTGAGCGGGAGGGGAGGGGAGGGGAAGGAATCTGCCTCTCTGACCCCCACTCCCAGTCCCCCAGATTCTCCAGTCTTTAGGCTCAGCAGCTCTCCCTGCCCTTGCCCAAGGCCTAATTTTGAGCTGTTGGGAGGAATGGAAGATTTCCTCAGTTTCCCTCCCTGCCCCTGCCCTGTCCCCAAAGTCTCCTCAGGTGCCCTCTTGGTAGGGCGAGGGAGGACAGGACTGGCTGGAGGCTCCAGGAAGGTGCCAGCTCCCCCCGCTGAGCCCCCTCATCCTTCTTCTGTGCTGAGCGGCCCCAGAGAACAGCAGAGGGGACAATCTTTGCCCCCAAATCTAATTCAGGGAAACTGAGGTGATGATAAAGGGAGAATTCCCCTCCCTGGCCCCTTCCCCTCCTTTAGAAGTGAAGGGCACAAGGGAGAGGGAGAGGAAGGGCCCTGGGGCCGTGGTGGCTCAGAGCTCCAGGTCGTTGGAGATGCGGGTGACAAGGGTGCGGAAGGCCAGGGCGGTGCCCGCCACACGGCGGAAGAGAACTCCCCGCAAGCCTGGCCGGGGCAGCTGGCAGACCTCCACTTCGAAGTGGGACAGGGGCTCGGGCCCGCCCGCACCCCCGTGCAGGCAGGCCAGCAGGAACGGCTGTGGCTGGCGGCAGCGGCAGCGGGCGGCTGCTGTGGCCTGGCGCAGAGCTGCCATCAGGGCCTCGGGAGGGCGCGAGCTGGTCAGCTTCACACTCCAGGGGAATCGGAGCAGCCGGGGGGCGGTTTCCGTTTGATCCCAAGGTAGATGGCAACTGAGGCGAGAAGATATCAGGGGTCAGAGATGGGAGCGAAGAGGAATGTGGTGGAGGGCTGAAGGGATACCTCTTCCCAATTTGGGACAGATTCCTAGCCATCCCCTCAAAAAACTTCTTCCCCTGCTATGCCAGTGACAGTTTCAACTGGAACGGAGCTGCCCCCCAGCTAGAGACCACACTTTCCAGCCTCCCTTGCAGCCAGGTGTGACCCTGTCTCTAAATTCTGGGACAGAAGCAGAAGTGAGGTCTGCCATCCACATCAGTTCCTTCAGAGAACCTGCATGCTCCAGGCTCTCCTGTCCCGCATCTCCCAGGAGCTGGACTTAGCAGTGGCACAGGCCAGCCTCAACTGTGAAGATGACATGAGGGCTCCAGGGAATGGGGATGGAAAAACCTGGGGACGTGAATGATTGCACAGATCCGGGTGGCCCTACCAGCCTGGCTTGGCCACATGGTTTGAATGAGAAATTTCTGTATTTTTTTTTTTTTTTTTTTGAGAGGGAGTTTTGCTCTTGTTACCCAGACTGGAGTGCAATGGCATGATCTCGGCTCACCACAACCTCCGCCTCCTGGGTTCAAGTGATTCTCCTGCCTCAGCC